ATATCTTTTAGGGAAACTTTCACATAAAGCCAATCAAACAGAACACAAAAGACTTTCTACTCTTTTTCTATTAGCATTTAGTGAATGGAAATTTGTTGGACCAATGAAGACCTTCCTTGCTGTCCTTACGGAAACCTGTACCAATGATTGGTAAGAAAGACAACTCAAAATGTAGGATCACAGTTTCTAGCCAATCTGAAAAGGTTAAGCTTTCAATGGTTTTGCCCATTTGTAATGTTAATATATACTGATGGCTCTGTGATGGTTCCTTGGACTCAGGCAGACATGGCTGTGGCAACATGCTTGTCCATTTTCCCGTTCTTGCCTATTCTGTAATATTCTTTGGACTCAGACAGACATGGCTGTGACAGCATGCTTGTCCATTTTCCCATTCTTGCCTATTCTGTAATATTCTTTGGACTTGGACAGACATGGCTCTAACAGCATGCTTGTCCGTTTTCCCACTTTTGTCTGTTCTGTGATATTTCCCTGGAATCGGGCAGACATGGTTCTGGCAGCATGGTTGTCTATTTCCCACTTTTGCCTTTTTGAATATATGCTGAATAAAACTTTCTTTCTGCTTTACTCAACTTCCTGATGTTTTTACCCTACAACAAATGTACACATCTTTTTAAACATATTTATTAATTTTATATTCTTTTTCTCAGAATGGTTTTAAGAATTCATGAAAAGATATCAATATTGTGGCTTCTTGAATAATTACGTTTCTCTTCTATTTTCTTGTAAATTCTCACATTTTAGAATAGTGGTAAGTTTGATGTTTGGCATACTAGAAGATTTAATTACTCACATGGCAATATTATTAAAAAGCCTTTAAACTTGATTTTTAAAATTTTTTTTTAAATGGGGGACATAACCTTGTTGTTAATTACATTAATCACATGGTAAGAACATGTTTAGTACTATTTACACTCTACCTTGCATAATGTTACCATGAGAAAATAGGCATCAAATAAAAAAAAAAAAAAAAAAATGGAGTAAACACATCCTAGGGTTGTAAGTAGAATAATTCAGAGAGAAAATAGAAGCAGATTACAAGGTCATCTCCAAAAATAATTACCAGATCTGTCATTAAAACCATCCTTGTGAGGAAGAGGCCCTGGATAAGTAAAGCATTACTGAAGAAGAAGAACAAAGTGGGAGGCCTCACACTACCTGATTTTAGAACTTATTATACCACCATGGTAATCAAAACAGCCTGGTACTGGTACAACAACAGATACATAGGCCAATGGAACAGAATTGAGAATTCAGACGTAAATTCATCTACCTATGAGCAGCTGATATTTGATAAAGGCCCAAATACCGTTAAATGGGGAAAAGACAGTCTCTTTAACAGTGTTGGCATAACTGGATATCCATCTGCAAAAAAAATTGAAACAAGACCCATACCTCACACAATGCACAAAAACTAACTCAAAATGTATCAAAGACCTAAATATGAAATCAAAAATGATAAAGATCATAGACGAAAAAATAGGGACAATGCTAGGAGCCCTAATATATGGCATAAACAGAATACAAAACATTGCTAACAATGCACAAACACCAGAAGAGAAACTAGATAACTGGGAGCTCCTAAAAATCAAACACTTATGCTCATCAAAACACTTCGCCAAAAAAGTCAAAAGACAACTTACAGACTGGGAAAAAATTTTTGGCTACGACAAATCCAATAAGGGTCTAATCTCTGAAATCTACAAGATACTGCAAAACCTCAACAACAAAAAGACAAATAACTCAATTAAAAAATGGGTGGAGGATATGAACAGGCACATCACTAAAGAAGACATTCAGGCAGCTAACAGACACATGAAGAAATGCTCATAATCATTAGCCATTAAATAAATGCAATTTAAAACTACAATGAGATACCATCTCAGCCCAACAAGGTTAGCATTAATCCAAAAAACACAAAATAATAAATATCGGAGAGGTTGTGGAGAGACTGGAACACTTAAACACTGTTGGTGGGAATGTAAAATGGTAAAACCACTTTGGAAATCGATTTGGCGCTTCCGTAAAAAGCTAGAAATAGAAGTACCATACGATCCAGCAATCCCACTCCTTGGAATATATCCTAGAGAAATAATAGCCGTCACACAAATAGATATATGCACACGCACGTTCATTGCTGCACTGTTCGCGATAGTAAAAAGATGGAAATAACCTAGGTGCCCATCAACAGATGAATGGATAAACAAATTATGGTATGTTCACACAATGGAATACTATGCAACGATAAAGAACAACAATGAATCCATGAATCTGGAAGGCATTATGTTGAGTGAAGTTAGTCAGTTGCAAAAGGACAAATACTGTATAAGACCACTACTATAAGAACTCAAGAAAAGGTTTAAACACAGAAGAAAACATTCTTTGATGGTTATGAGGATGGGGAGGGAGGGAGAGGGGAATTCACTAACTAGATAGTAGACAAGAATTATCTTAGGTAACGGGAAGGACAATACACACCGCAGGGGAAGTCAGCACAACTGGACTAAACCAAAAGCTAAAGAAGTTTCCTGAATACAACCAAACACTTCGAGGGACAAAGTAGCAGGGGCGGGGTTCTGGGGACCATGGTTTCAGGGGACGTCTAGGTCAGTTGGCATAACAGTTTATTAAGAATATGTTCTGCATCCCACTTTGGTGAGTGGCGTCTGGGGTCTTAAAAGCTTGTGAGCAGCCATCTGAGATGCATCAATTGGTCCCAACCCACCTGGAGCAAAGGAGAATGAAGAACACCAAAGACACAAGGAAAATATTAGCCTAAGAAACCAAAGGGCCACGTAAACCAGAGACCGCATCAGCCTGAGACCAGAACAACTAGATGGTGCCCAGCTACCACCAATGACCACCCTGACAGGGAACACAACAGAGAGTCCTGGAAGGAGCAGGAGAAAAGTGGGATGCAGAACTCAAATTCTATTCAAAAGACCAGACCCAATGGTCTGAGACTGAAGGGACCCTGGAAGACATCATCCTGGATTCTCTGTTAGCCCAAAACTGAAACCACTCCTGTAGCCAACTCTTCAGACAAAGATTAGACTAGACTATATGACATAAAATGATACTGGTAAAGAGAGTGCTTCTTAGCTCAAGTAGATACTTGAGGCTAAACAGGCAGCTCCTGTCTGGAGGCGAGATGAGAAGGCAGAAAGGGACAGGAGATGGTTGAATGGACAGGGGAAATCCACCCGGGGAGTGTGCTGTCACAGTATGGGGAGTGCAACTAGGGTCACATACAAGTGTGTGTATGAAGTTTTGTATGAGAAACTAACTTGAACTGTAAACTTTCATTTAAAGCACAATTAAAAAAAAAAATTTAAAAACCATCCTTGTGTCCGTCCTGGCAGGAAGTGTTTGGTTTTATGAATTCTTCTTAAGCCTGTCTTAATTTTCTGCAACTTTGTCTAACTTCTACTTGCTTCTCTAGAAGCCAGAGGGTCAATGTCTACATGGCAGATCTAACTTTATAAACATATACACAGGTAACACTGACCATTGGTTATAGTTAATTCATATTTCTCTTTCAATGTTTTATACTTTTGCATCCAATAGATGGCTTTTACTTTCACACAAATCCTACTTCAAATGTGTCACATATATTCACATTAAACAGACCATGAGTTTGCTTTTAAAATAATTCTTTTAATTTAAAAGATACAGACTTCAAGAGGGGAATAAACGAGAACTGAACCAAAGAAAGCCAGATTTTTCTATCACAGAAGGGAAAACCTGATATATGAAAAATTGAATTATGGCATTTAAAAACTCAAATGCACTAAAACCTCCTAACCGTCAAGTAGATTTCAACTCATAGCAACCCTACAGAACAGAGCAGAACTGCCCCATAGGGTTTCCAAGGAGTGGCTGGTGGATTCAAACTTACGAGGTTTTGGTTAAGCAGGTGAGTTTTTAACCCCTATGCCACAAGGGCTCCTCAAATACTCTACAAAGCTAAACATGTATTCATAGCAGGTGAAACAGCTATCAAGAGCAAACTATGTCAGGGCCTTGAGTTTTTTACACCAAAATTGACACACAGCTTTCAAAGGATACCAAATACTGTGCAAAATGAGGTACACTGAAGTAGAAAATCTAAAAAATATTTGTCAACTCCTTATATCCAGACGTCAAATAACTTTCCCTTTTCTTTAATGCATTAAAACTTGATTTAAATACTTTTGTTGTTGAAAATACAGACAGCAGAACATACATCAATTCAACAATTTCTTCATGTACACTTCAGTAACACTGACTACATCCAAGTTGTGCAACCATTTTATTAATTTTTTGAAATCGACTGCTCACAGGCTGAAACTGGCTCACAGGTACAAAAAGAGGTCACCAACATGGTCAAAGAGCATCTCTGGACTCGTCATCCCTTCTGTTGGGAAAATAATGCGAAAAGCTCTCAACATGCCAAATGACTAAATGTTCAGGAGGTCTTGCACCGTCAGTTAAAACTTTCCTCCTAAAGCTCCGGGGCTTGGTTGGCTCCCTGAACAGCTCAGAATGGGTGACCGGGGGTGTCGGGCCCTGGCTCTGGGGGGAGAGTCTTGAGGACCCTGAACGGATTACCGGGGTGGGGGCAAGGGAGAGAAAATATGTATATAAAATGAGTAAAACGCCAGCCTGAAGTTACTTTTCGAACGAAACCTGCTGCTAATTTTCGATTACGGGGCGCCAAGGAGAGGCGGGGTCCGCTCGCGCCCCCGCAGCCGCCCGGAGCCGCTCGTGGCAGGGAGGTGGGAGTCCGCTCGCGCCGCTCTGCACCTCGGCCAGCAACCGATCCAGGACTCGTCTCAGGCGCCGAGCCTAAAGTGCAGGAACCACCGTGTCGCCCCCAACCCCAACAGAAACCACACCCCAACCGCTGGCGGCCTGACCCGGAAGTGCTCGGAGGCCGCCGCGGCGACGGGGCGCGGCCAAACCGGCGCTCGCGCGCGCGCGCTCACCGCGGAACTCCCGCCGGTGGCTCCGCGTTCTCCCGGAGGCGCGCCCCAGCCGCCGCCAACATGGCCGAGACAAGTGAGGAGGTGGCGGTGCTGGTGCAGCGGGTGGTGAAGGACATCACCAACGCCTTCAGGAGGAACCCGCACATGTGAGTCGCGCGCCGGCGGCACCCCCGCCTCCGCCGCTCTGAGGGTCGTTAGGGGCGGGGGCCGGGCGGGGGCGGGGCCAAGCCCAGAGCTGACCTCGGGCGGCGGGCAGACCGCGCGGGACGTGGCCTTCTGCGTCCCTCGGAAGGAGGGAACAGCTGGGTTCCGGCCGGACCGTTGTCGGCCGCCGCGCGGGCTACTGCCCACCATCGCCTCCGGAACCGAACGAGCTCGCGGGCGAGTCCCTGGAATTGACCTCGGAAAATCAAAACGGAACGACTTTGTTCCGCGCTCCCTTCTTAGCCCTTCCCAGGACTTCTTGAAACTCTGAAGACTTCATTCGTTTGTCTATATCCTTCATCCGTTTATGGTACATGGGCGCACAGAGACTGTGGGTCGGTATATGCATTGTAAACACAACTCTTGAGGTTCACCCCGAACTTTGGTAAGAGGGGATTGCCGATCATGTTGATGGGCCAGAAACCCCTCAGTTGAGTTTATCTACTAAAGATAGTTCGAGGCTGCTTTTGACTTTGCCCTCACTTGTCACAAGATTGTAAAAACATTGGATTGATAAAACATGTTTTTGAAGGTGAACAGAACATTGTCAAGAGTGTACCTTCTGTAGGCACAGTATGGGACTGGTGTAAACAAAAGAAACTGGACACTTTTTAGCTTTAGCTGATTCATAGTTACAAAGAACATATTAACTCATTTTAATCCAAGCACTCCTGCGCTCTTTAAACAGAACACTGCAGGACTGATACATGTATCTTCCCTTCCTTCCTTTTCATTTTACTTGGAGTATTCTGGAAAGATGCCAGAGGAGTATTCTTTCTGACATACTTGCTTTTGTGTAAGTAGGGAAAACTGAAAGCTTATTGCCGTCGAGTCGATTTCAACTCATAGCGATGCTATAGAACAGAGTAGAACTGCCCCATAGTTTCCAAGGCTGTAAATGTTTATGGAAGCTGACTGCCACATCTTTCTCCCACAGGGAGTGGCTGGTGGGTTCGAACCGACCTATCAGGTTAGCAGCCAAGCTCGCTTAACCACTGCACTACCAGAGCTCCTTAACTAGTGAAAAGGAACCTATGGGTCGCTATGAGTGACAATGGACTGCAACGGGTTTTGTTTTGTTTGTTTATATCTAAAACATACAAAGGAGTAACAAAGATGCAAAAGTGTAGCTCCTTTCCGTCCTTGCACTCAAATGAAAGGAAACATGAAATCCAGTTTTGCATTATGTTTAGTTAATCTGATTGCATTTATTTTTAAAATTTTGGTCTTTTTTTGAAGCACATGAATTATTCTTTTTAAGCTTTCTAACCCCTTAAGCTTTTCTGTCTAAAAGAGGTGCCAAACCTACATCTGAACAAAGTGTCTTCCAGGGTGGTGCTTACAAAGAATTAAGAAGCCCTCAGTGTCTTCCTCCCGTGTGGCACTTAATTGAAGATCTGCAGCTATGCCTCATTAAAAACAAAACCTTCCTGGCCCCAAAACACACCTGCCAGTTCTGTCTGTGTCCACTTCCTTTACCCTTATAACTGCTGCTTTTTTCAAACTGAGTGTTTGGAATGATTTCCTGGCAGTAACCACGGTGGTTACTGGGCCTTCTAAAGAATGCTTTGATGCCTTGTTGTACATCAGTCTTTCAGTCCCTTTTTGAGAATTGAAGCTCTAGTGCAAATAAGAGACATCCTCCAAAACAAGTTGGACAAATGAAGGGCCTATTTGGTCATTATTGGTGTTATATTTCTTGAAGAAATTACAGTAAATGTTAGAAGTTTAGTTAAAAAAATAAAATGAAGATGCCCTTCTAGTCTACCTAAGATCAGATTCTCTTTGAGGTAGACTAGAAAGGCATCTTTATTTTGCCTGAGATTGAGTGTTCATTGGCTTGGGAGGTTGACACAGTGCAGCTTGGAATGGGACCCAATTCTTCCAGATCACATTTATTGAAACTCATTAAAGACTTTAATGCTCCCCTTACCATGTTTTTACAGTGAAATCTCATTAATGTGGTCTCTCTCAGTGCATACTTTATAATTACCAATAAGCATTTGGGTCATTCAAGATTTAAAAAATTTGAAATAGGTTGGACACACTTTGAAATAATGATAGGTAATATAGGTCTAAAACATTTAATTAACTTATTGTTTCATTGTTTAATATTAGTTTTATCTATATATTAGTAAGCTCTACAATAATAATATCCTCAATAATGTTACTCATCTTTTAGGATGTCTTATAATTTGAGCTTTTCAGAATTTCCTATACTTCTTGCCCTAATCTAGCCCTTTTACTTCCAAAATAGACTATATTTGCAACTAAAAGGAGAAAAAAAGGCTTTGTTTATCTTGAAAGTTGGTATCTGATTACAGTTTTAATATTACAAAAAAGTTTTTCATTCTTTTTTTCTTTACTTTTTTCCCCCAAACACAAGATAAATTGTAATTTTATTAGACGACATCTACTCCATTATTAAAAATGTTGACTGCCTCTCTAAAAATATCTAGCTAGGAGAAGTCAGAGATGCAGTGGGATGAGATGTGGATTATGTTACTGCTCGGTGTGGGTAGGTTACCCTCCCTGAGCCTCAGTTTCCTGTTGCTTCTGTGAGGCTGATGGGAACACAGGAAAATCACCTTGCATAGTGTCTGGCACTTAGTTGACACTAGGTAGGTGAATATTAGATTTAAGTTGAACCCCAGTGCTCACAGAAAAGATATTGATCAAATGAATTAAACAACTCAGCGCTTGACCTAGGGACAGGCATTAGCCTAATGTATAGATCCTGTACTGTTGTGGAAGCCTACTGTTGATAATGTAATTAATATCATGTTAAAGTTCTCTTATCCAACAAGTCATTTTTTTTATTGCTCTATTAAATATTTATTGAACTTTCATTATTTTTGAGGTGCTGTAATACCGTTTTCACTGTATGAAATAGGAAGAAGTGTAAAATACGGTTTTTGTGTTCAGGGTACTCACAGAAATTTCTGGGATGATACCAAACCAGTTGCCGTCCAATCGATCCTGACTCATGGCAACCCCGTGTTTGTCAGAGTAGAACTGTGTTCTGTAGGGTCTTCAGTGGCTCATTTTTCAGAAGTAGATCACCAGGCCTTTCTTCCAGCGCACCTCTGGGTGGACGTGAGCCTCCAACCTTCTGGTTAGTAGTTGAGTGTGTTAACCTTTTGTACCACCGAGGTACTTCTGGGATGATAGAAATGTTCTGTATCTACACTGTCCAATATAGTAGCCACTAACCATGTCTAGATATTGAGCATTTGAAATATGACTGATGCAAATGAGGAACTACATTTAAAAATTTTAATTGTAATAAATTTAAGTATTATAGCCACATGTGCCTAGTGGCTACTGTATTGGACAGCACAGATCTCGATGGGACCTAAGACCTACCTGCTTGTACAGTAGGCTGACCTGCAAAACAGTTTATAATAAAGGCTGGATTAGTAGTATGGTGAACAAGTGCTATGAGAATCTATTAGAGACAGAGGGGAGTCTGGGGATGTGCAGGCCAGGGCCCTTAGGGGAGATGACTTTTGAGCTGAACTTTGAAGGCTAAATAAGATTTACAGTCTCAGAGAGCCAGAGACCTTCACATGGAGCAGAGAATTCACTAAAAGTAGCAAACCGTCATTGAAAAGACCCATTAGGGCCAGATTTTGGAAGTCCTTTACTGTCTAGGTTAATCTCTTTCATTCCATTCATACATTCAGAAAAGAGCACTTCTATTTGACAGGCACAGTGCTAATCTCTGGGTATGCAGGGCTAAGAGCTGGGTGGAGATTGTTCATCAACAGTTGATGAACAAACCAGTCATCATCTCCACCCCCC